GACACGCAATTTCCCTTTGTGCTCCTCTGACAGCCCTTTGCATCGCTTTGCCCCATATTGTCAAAGCAACTTCTCCCTTCCGCCAGGGCAAAGCGCTCACTCAAAATGAAGGAAGGTCGGCACTGCGGCCTTAGGCAAATCAACAGTTACCAGATGATGCACAGGAAGCACGAAGCTACGCTGACCTTTGACCTGAAGCTGAAACCTTAAGCAAATCAACAGGTCCCGTGAAGAGAACAAAGCCATATTGATTCTAGGATTGAGTGACTATTGGTCTGGACTCGGCAACCGCCGAGAGCATATCCCGTAAGTGTATTACACTCTATATCTGGGAGGTGGTGGTGGTGGTGTTCCTGACCCGCTGGAGTGCGAGATGCGGCGACGACAAAGAGATTCACCGGCAGATTCCACACTTCAGGCATCTCAAACAGCGGAAGGAAGGTGTAAATCTTTGAAAGGGAGAGGAGAGGTCAAGGTTGACGAAGAAAATATGCGCGATCCGTGACCTGTTTGCTAGGGTACTGCTCCGGTATTCGCCTGGTGTTGATGGGAGAATTTACGGAAAACTACCGATGGGGGGAGCCGTAAGTCTCCTCCAGACAGTGGCTGAATACGATCGTGCTTTCTAGTTCGTATCGAAAATCCGCTACTGCCAGTACTTTATATCTAAGACCTCTTCGTTAATTTTTGAAATAAAATTGAATGTATTTTGCCTCTTGGTCTTCTTGAGTGGTCATACAAAGAACGTCGCACTCTTCACAAGGGACTTTCAAGAATTTGATGCTTCATTCTTTCTTCTCTAATTCCTCCCGCGTGTAAGGCGTCTCGTACATCGTTTACCTAAGATGATTTACAATTTTCTGATTCTTTTCCGAAGTGGTAGTTAAATTACGTTCATTTTCGAGAGTCTTGTGGGTTACATCAATGTGACATATTTTCGCCATTTAAATCACTTTTCGTCCATTCTAATTCTATTATGCACAGTTCGTTTGAGTCCTTACTTTAAATGTTGCATAATCTCAAAAGAAAATTTCGGAGACTTTTTTCAAGTAGGTTCATTTCACTGTTTCTAGCCTTTCTTTATTCCTTCCTTCCCTGAATTCTTAACATACACTTCGAGAGGTAGCAAAGGGGTTGCCACAGAGATTCTCGCCCACAAAAGTTGCTCGCTCGCCGACAGCCATTTTATGATTTTTCTAATATCACCAAACACGAGATTGTAACTCTTTACAATCGAGATATAACATTAGAAAATATAGCATTTTCAACTATATATTTTATGTGAACTATATATTTTAGCCAATTCAGGACGGTGAATTAAATTTAAATGAGTTTTTTCCAAAAATTCCTTCTTTTGTGGAGAAAAATAATTCTGACAGGCAGCAAATCATGTATTTAGAATACAAAATACCCGTTTCCCGAACAGTTAAAGGATGTAGGCTATATTTACGTTACGTATACCACTTACGTCAGCATGTGATGACAACACTTAATAACGCACGCAAGATATTCGTGAACTTTTGAACAGTTCTCCGAAATTTAACTCAACCACAAGAGATTTTATGCTTGTTCAGAATCATTATAGCTTATATTCCATTTGTTTGGAATTAACAGACACAATTTACATTATGAGAATCGAGTAATACATCAATTAAAAAGGAAATAAAACACATTTACTGCTTGTATTTAATAAAATTAAGAGTCGATTTTGACATTAATTATTTATCAAAAGTGACTTATTTTATAAGTCACGTGCAGATTAAAAAATATCTCGATGTTTGTTACCTCGATGGCTTAGCGCGAAAACATTGTATGTCAACCCATGGTCAATTTTGTGTCAAAATCATTTTGTAGACCCCTCACTCATATCTACTTAGTGCACAATGTATGCATGTTCATGTAAGAGTGATCATGTTTTTTCCAAAAAGCAAACATAGTCGCTCCATAAGCAAAAGACCTCTACAAACTTTCGAGCTTGGTTTTATCGAATCTAGGAATTCTGGTCACAAAATGTGTGTGCTCTAAACCTGCGATCTATTCATTATAATTTATTGTAATGGAGCTCTTACCTATACATGTAATGAGGTATAATGTTATTAGTATATTTTGATGACGGAATACGTCATGATAGATAATTGAGGAAGGAGGGAGAAATGAAACGAGAAAATACTCAGTAATTCAGGAATTTGCTGTTTCCAATTCAAACTTCCCTAAATTTTACTTCAGTTCACTTAAAAATCAGATACTTCAATTTGGATCACGTACCCAAAGGAGAAACAGCTTTGCATTGATCACAGGAAATTATCCGTTTATTGTCAGGAGAACAAGAAATATCTTTAGCTCATCAACGTTAAGGATTCAAACAGAATATTGATACTACTTAATTACTGGCCTAAGCTGCGATAATCAAACATTAAGAGGCGGTGTACGCTGGAAGTACGAGTTCCATTAACATAATTAATTTATGTCACATTTTGAAACCGTTTTGAACATAATATTTTTGATCGAATAGTACTTTTAATTCTCGTCATTGCCTACATACTTGTAGTCGAAGAGGTAGTCGTTTTTGTGGCTTCCATACAGCAGAAAACTGATGATGATGGCTAAGCCATCGAAAGCTGCTTTTTTAATAAATAATATTGTTGGCAATGACGCATATAATTATTTTATTATAAATGCAAACGATAACGCACCACAACACCTCTACTTTTAATCTCCACTTTTTCCATTCAAGTATTTTCAAAAATCACGTAAATTCTCTAGTTGCTCCGGGGCTCGGGAATTTTTTGGAAATTTTCAGTGAACGCGAGATATTACCTACAATAGTGTTTAGTTGATGAAACCTAGGCACTTCATAGTTACCTAAAGAATAAATGGTTAACCGATTGAGGAGCAATGAATGTTTCAATATGAACACAAATATACGCGTAAAGATTTACTTCAGAAAAATGTGACGCCTGATAGGTAGGCATCTTGCAATAATCTTGCCTGTAGTGAATTGTCTCGACGATATTCCTCTCTTCATATATCAAGTAAGTTGTCTTCGACAACATGCATGTTTAATATCGGCAGGGTTTTTATTTATTACATATTCATTTTGAGATTGCTTAACCTTTATTAGATCTGCTGCTAGTAGATTCTTGACTTTCATGTGGCTTTCCAAGCTATAACACGTTTAAAAAACATATGAAAACACCCAAACTTACGATGATTCAAATCAGTGTTCAATAGAACTGAACACATAGGGTCCACACATGCCTCCTATCTCTGCCATCCGGTTGATATACTTTGTTTCGGGTCTAAAATGATTTCATCCTCAATATGTTCCATTTAATATTAAAATTAATAACTTTCCTTCTCTGATTTTAATAAACAAGACTCAAAGTATACAGTTAACTTTTTGTTTTCCGAGTTTAATATATATTTTTTAACATTTTGTTAAGACTTTCAAGGCTCCTTTCAACTTTACTTCTTGAGTATTAGCCTTTTAAATTGAAAGACCATTGCCTTTAGTTGACTTAATATGTTTAATATTAATTTTGGGTTTTCTTGTAGTAAAGATCTTCCCAACTTCATTTCTAACTTTAGTGGAGTCTTTTATGCCTTTGCTTGGAGTTATTACAACCCAAGCGTTCACATCTTTAGTTAGAAGAAAAACTTCATTTTCGCTTTTCGGGGCTCCTCCTGGAATTGATTTTTCGAAGTCGGCATCGCGGCCCTTTATTTCAGACATAACGTCAGTAGTTAGAGATATCACGCGAATCTGATCCTCCATCACTTTAATATTATTCATGTGTTGATTCCTTCTTATTTGATTTCCTACTACTATAGTAGGAGAAAAGTTTTCGGTCAGTCAAAATCGACATATTTCATCTGTCAATGGGTGTGTTATTTCTTTACCAACAAAATGTGGACTACACTTTAATTTGGGGTTTCGATTTCATGGAATTTACAACCTTTATTCCCTACATTGCAATAAAATCTAAGTACTTATATCACCCTCGCAATTACTGGTGACTAGATGTCAACCCATCACCAAGCCTTTGGCTAAATTTAAAATCAATAGTTTATCCATTGAAACTATTTATTACAACAACTATTCATTTAATATTGAATTAATTTTCACCAACTCAATATTTTCAATACAAAAATTAGTAAACAATTTGCACGAGCATCAGAAATACGAATGCTAAATCTACAACTGGTGTGTTAGTTGACTCACACCTCACATAGATTCTCTTTGAAGAATGCAATTTTAATCTACTGAATAATTATTCGTCACTCATTTATAATATGTTATGTCGCTTTAAGGCATATCATGAACTATGAATGTTTTTGTTTACATATTTAAAGCGACATAAAAGTTAGCAATAATTTGAAAATGTGCTGCTTAACAAAAATTTAGACAGTCCACGAAATAGTGACTAGACAAGGTGGCGCAAGTCAAGAAAGTACCAGAAACTGGACACTGGTAGTAACGTTTAGAAGTTGGGAGGCATAAATAGCCAAACGTAATAACCAAATATACTATAATAACTAATTTCTCTGATATTATTAGTTGTAGTATTCTCATGACGTTATCGTATTTTGTTTCATGAATACTTAGAAATAATTCAGAATTCAGAATCGTTTCTCCTTAGTTACAACTAGCAAGTGATCTACCGACTTAGGTACATCGATACTATGCAGGTTCTATGTCAAAAGACACTTAAATGCTTGTACCGCAATGTATCGGCAACGTTTCTATTATGTGTGTGTGTGGCGGAAATGCATTTATTTCAACCCAAGAGCTTTCCGAATCATCAGAAAATGTGCCCAATGCAACGGGTCGGGCCGATTAGGTGATTTTGGATAGCGTCGAGTCGAGTGGAGTCAAACCGGACCAGGGTCGGGTCGAGTTGGAGTGTTGATCGGATGCGGTCAGAACGCGTGGGTTTGGAGCAGGTCGGGTCCGGTCACGTTGCGTCGCTTCGGCTCTCGCGCCGCGCGCCAACACTCACCGGCCGTAGTGGGGCCCCACGTTGCTGACGTAGGCTGAGCTGGCGGTGATAGCGGCGTCGGGGATGGCGCCAGACTCCATTCCGAGCGGCGTGCCGCAATCACCTATGCAGAGAACAGCGCACCGTCACGCCTTGTTCCAGGCCCTTCACACCCCTCATATTCCATGGCCTCCACTCGGAGGCGTATATCAGACACGAGTTTATATAGGGACGTTCTGGCCCTACATAGATAGCGAATTTCAAAACACATGATGATGATAATGATGGTAAGAGGCTTTTCCCTTTAAACATTTATATGCTGGTAGATGGCAACAGTGACGGTCTGCCGTTGCCTTTCATAGTATACATAATGATAGAGGTAATGATGAGAGATGAATGGTGATAAAAAATAAATTATTATAAATTAGATAGGAGATCAGACGGTGTATATGATGGTTTGAAATTAAAACTATCATTATTACACGGTGAAAACGTACACGTGGCCGGGGCGCTCAAAAGGGCAGAAAAAGAGTAAAAAAATTGTAGTTTAAATCAACTTAATGAGCAAAGCAAAAGATTTTAAGGCGATGCATTTTTACCACAATATTACATAGACAAAATTTATCATCAATCTACATGCAACACAAGTACGCAACGGTTTTACACATCGGGTATTTTGGCAGAAATAGTTGTCTTGCTGAACTCCATCTGCCTTATAACCCTATGTTACTCTTACAGCTATCTTTCAGTGTGTACATTTCACTGGCAACTAGGCAACTCAAGTCAACTAGCACGAAATTGGAGTCTGCTCCGTATGCTGGAAATGCAAAGCACACCCTCTATACATCCTAACATTCTCTAGTTCCCCATGCCGCCCTTACTGGGGCATACTAATGTTTTCCGCGCCTATTTCAGATAGTGCAAATTACATTTTCAAATATTGGCTTAGGCTTCCTCTACTAGTATCGTGATGCTTTTCAGTGTCCAGTCCACGACTTGTCTTCCAGGCACCAACATCAACATACAAACATTACTGCCCAGTCGATGATCAAGAAACTTTCAATGAAACGTTATTGTGCACATTTACGACTGTACGAGTTACATACAAAGAAAAATATTACACTTGCAATCGTTTATTTTGTGGATACATTCTGAGAGGTTAAAGTGGTTTCAAAAATAAATATGGTAAGTCTTTTGTAACTTTTTAGTGGGTAGCATCACAATGTAATATATTAAAATAACTATCATAATGCTCGAGTTTTGCTCTAAGTGCTTGTTTCAAATTCTTCACTTACTCCACCATGATCAAATGTGAATATTTTAATCTCATATGACCAGTTTTCCTAACAAAGTATTGGATAGTGAAATTCAATCTCTTTCAATCTCTGTCTTATTAGCTTATTTCTTGCACTAGCGTCAATGTCTCTCCACTTAAGATCTTCCTGGCGACACAATATTTAGGGTTTCACTCAAGTACACAATACTTTTTTGCTATTCTAAGAAGCCGCTGTTGCAAGATAATATTTGTTGTGCATGTAAATACCATTCCTTTACATGATATAAACATACATTGTTGGATAAAAAAGTGAAATTTTTATACGGACCTAAAAGATTCAAAGTTATACATTATATTCTGAAAACCATCAACGGGTTAATATCACAAAGTATAATAAGATTTAAATTTTATACAGTAATATAATATATATTAAAGTTAATTGGGGATTAGAGTCACGAATATGTGGTTGCTGCTCTCGAGTTGTTTTCATGAATTATATAAAAACACATACAAACCTCTCATGGGGGGCCCATGTTTCGTGTCGGAAATTCATCTCACGCAGAGGGTTAAAACCCGCTAGGGGGTGGAGTGTGTACTGATGGAAAAAAGAGAGGAAGAGCTGCGTGTAAATACGCAAAAAACTGCAAGCCCCAAACAACGAAACGAAAAAAACGCGTAAGTGAACAAACGGGATAAAACAACCGGGAAGCGATTTTCGATACAGTGTACTGTCTTAATCGAGCACTCAGCTATATGTGCCCATTCGCGTATCTCCAAAACTTCAAACTGACAACCGAGTTAGCGCCTTCCCTCTAAAAATAACTATTTCTTAGCACGTAATAGCATTTTTCTAGTTACTTTTACATACTAGTACAATCACAATTATTGCAAGGTCACATTACGCCAATAACACAAATTATAAAAGGTTACAAAAATCGTTATAGAAGATTTTAAAATCGCAATACATAAAATGTGACATGTCAGCAAAGATAGTGTCTCAAATTGCATCTGGCACTAGTGGCGACTTTCGCAAGCGCTGATCACGGGTTATGCCGTGCAACCTCTCTTCCACAACGTTTTATTGTTTTTTCGACGACACGATTTTCCTATTACCCTGCTTTAGGGTATTTTTATAAGATTATGATAATCGCGCTAAATTGTATATACTCACCAAATTAAACATTTGTTCACGAAATGCAAACACGCTTGTACAAGTGTATAAAAATATTAATACAAAACATTTTTATACAAATGAAAACAAACTCTGTTATCTTTGTGCATGTCAAGCCCTCGGAAAACGCCGACAGAATCGTAACTGTGTTTAATGTTATGCCGGATGTGAGTATGAATAGTCAACTGTGAAAGAATTTTCTTTGCGATGTAAGCGAAAATCCTTTTCGTGTACTCGCCTCAAACACCGTACTTTTCGTAACATTGATCGGCTGAAACGTAAAGTTCCCTCGGGCAAGGTTGAGAAAGTATTTTCGCGGACGATTATCACGGAAACATATTTTAAGTCTTGGTAAACAAATCAATGTCAAAGCATTTAAAAATAATATTTATTGTTCTTTCAATATAGAATGTATTTAACACATTACATATTACCGTTTATGTTGATAACAGAATTAGATATATTTTTAAATATTAAAATTGGAATTTTCCGAGTTTTCGCCTATCACCAAAATTATCCTCAAATTTCACACAGTTCAGAAATTATTTTAACAGTTGACGACTTCAGTATAGAAGGCACTGTAACTGACAACTTTAGAAATGATATTGCATTATAATATGGGACCAGAATGTATGGTTTAAAATAGATATATCCACATATTGAATCTTAAAATTTGGAAGTGAGAATACGAAAAATAGTTGTAAGCAAATCGGGCCGAAATTAAATGATTCTGCATTCGGTAATTTACCAACCTCGGTTCCGTTACGCTCCGCTCCGCCTCAGTTGGTAAACATCTCTTCCAGTATTCATTTTTCATCCTTAATACCTCAGTAACATCTATTTTAGTCGTTGCGCAGCCCTTCCTACAACAATGAGAGTTTTCAGAAAGTAGCTATATATTTGTATATTTCATGGTGCAGAAGAAATCATCATATTACATACAGGGAAGTAGTTGTTATTATTTCATTCAGAGAAATGTTTTAATTACTTGCGAAATTGCTAATTGGAACATAGATTCAGTAAATTCGATAGCGCTAATTATAAGAAATATTTGGTTGAAGGAATTTCTTCTATAATTGAATAATAGTCATTAATGAAATATGTTTAACACGAACATCGGTATGAAACAAGTGACAAGTCTGTTAACGCCTCATTGTATCAAACGTACGCGAGTTTTACTGTGATTTCAACCACATATCATACAAACTTGGTTCTATGTCGACCACTAAGTCATTTTTTATTTTCATTGGTATTTGTTGATACTTAATCTTGAAACAATCTGTATAGTTTGAAGATTTGATGCGTTGACCACACACTTGAATGCATTATGCTCTCAATTATTCAAACCACAGCGTAAACCAAACGGTTTACCGATTTTTTCAATGAATTACACAATATTTGAGATTTCGTTTTTAGTTTTGGTTACATATTATTAAAACATAGAATATGTTAAGACTTCGACAACAATAACACTGAAATAATGTAGTAATATATATTCATCTTAGTTACTAATTATATTTTAATAATTTCGACATTTGGCCAATAATTGATATTAATGCTTTGTAAACAGTGATACAAACAAAAAAGCTGTTGTTTTATTGACAAAGTACACACTTTGTATACTTCATTGTGATGGGGTGTAAAGTTTACTTTTCCCCTCAATGTTTTAAATGTTAATAATGACATTTTAAAACATATTTTTTAATAAATTAGAAAAACCCTTAACACTTTTGTTAGATAATATATTCAACCACCTAATGAAGGAAAATTCAACATGGGGACATAAAAATTTTAGCCACGTGTGTGGAAGTACAATCTCTATACAATAGTTGAGAACGTCTCCATCCGATGCAAATAAATTGGCGGGAAACATAATTGCTTCACTTCTGTCTGATAAGACAAATTTTCTTATGAAGAAGCATATACAATTCTTGACCTCTGATGAAGGAGAAAATATTCACTGAACATAAAGTTTGCTCGCCTGTGATAGTAGTCAAGTAGCTTTTTTATTTATTGATTTATTTAGCGACCAAAACATTATATAATATATGTAATGTTAGAGGGAAAGAAAAAACTACATTTTTAATGTCTACATCAGGGCTTATCACATTTTGTGTCCTGGAGCAAGTGCTAGTTGTACAAACTGCGCGAAATTAGCATTCAGGGGTGATTGCAGCCGAGTGAGAGAGCCGAAAGAAATTTCAGTTGTTTCTCCCACTGACTCATGAGAAATACTATTTGCGTGACTTTTCTTGTCGTTTGAGCTTCCTAGTTCTCGATCGAGCAACGACCAAGCACAGACTTGTAAAAAAGTCTTGTTCTCACTCGGAACGACACGCGAAGATTGTCACAGGTGCTTCCGCTGCTTGCTAATGAATCTAGTTCTCGCGTAATGGCTGTTTCTGACTGCTCTGGGTTTTATACGCTCATTGACACGACAATGTTTGCTAGCTTCTCGCTTTTACGATTTGTATTTTTGAATTTTATGTTACGTTGGATATTAGTTGCGAGTTAATGACAATAAGGGAAGAGAAAATCTTCACCCCATATCTCACTAACATGCAGCATTGTGATCCACAAATTATTTTTACATTTGATTGCGATTTATTATTTACTTATTAATATCGTTTATTGTATGCATTATAGTAATAGCGAAAGACGCGCGCATAGTCACATT